ATGTTTTATACAGGTCCTTCTGTATTTGTTTTGTCAGCTCTTCACTTGCTTTCTCTTCATCTGTGCCAATGATACTGAACAGCTTAGGTTTGATATTCTCACTTTATTTTTTTTTTTCCTTTGGGTAACTGCTGTGGTCCTCTTCATTCTGCCACAAGCAGAATTATCTTTACACTTAATTCTCCTCTCTTTTGGAGATCATACATGAGGCACGGGTTCTTCTACAACAAGAGCATGCTTAAAGCAGGTGCTTCACAAATCTAAAAATCAGTGTGCATAGAAATGCCCTATGGAGATCGTTGCTCCAGAACAAATATATTGTATTCTGGTGATGGACTACACCTGATGCAGCTTTCCAAGATCTGTAGGCTTACAACTGCAATAAATAAACTGAGGCTTCACATACAGCTGTAGCAATCTCTCTTCCTGTCATGTGTGATGATGAAAATGTTAAGCAAAAGCTTAGTTTAGAAATAAGGAGGACAGGTGGAACAGAGGCCAGGGAAGAGGGGGGCGGAAGAAGGAGGTGTAGGAGTGGTGGAGATGAACCAGTGCAAGACTTGCACTCCCATGGCTTACCAGGCCCCATCCCCATGAGGCGACTCGTGTCGTAGCATGCTTCTTGTTACAACATTGACCTCTGGCACAGGCTTTATTTTGCATGAAAGGGAAGAGTCAGGACTTAGACATCGCATCATGGTGCGGTGACAGCGTGTAAAGGCTGGTTAACAACCACCAGCCTTGGCACTGCTGGCCTGATAGCCACAGCTGCGAGGGCTTCAGCATGGGGTGGAAATCTTCCCAGGCTATCGGCTACGCTGGAAGGGGCAGCCAAAGTGCTGATGTGGGGCCACGCTTATGTGTCTGAGACCTGTGGTGTTACATGGGCCCTGAGGAGAGGACTCATGTCTGTTGGCAAGCTGGCCGGGAGACACCTAACCTGGCCAGAAGACCTGGGAACAAGGGTATCCATGGCGCATGAGCTCCCAGTACAGCTCCTACCTTCTGTGCCTGATTTGCAGCATCTCCAGCCTCTGACTCTCTCTCATGTGCCAAGTAAGTCCCTACCCTTTCAGCTTGAGGCTCTCTGCAGCGAGTATATCTCAATCTCCTCCTGAAGCTCTTCCATTTTGTATAAAATCGGGTATTAATTAAAATCAAGTGTAAGAATGAACAGCCGGGCTTCTATCTTGTAGTGTCAACCCTTTTCCTTCAGCCTCATGTTATGGCTGAACAATATGATTCCTTCAGCAGCAAAGAAGTAGAAGCAGAAGTTCCTACCTGCCACGCTGTTGCCAAAGTCCAGCTCCCAGCCACTGCACAAGCCAGCACGGTGAACCTCATCGCTGAAGTGAGCCACATTAAAAACAAGCAAACAAAATCTTCCTCCATTTGTGTGGTGCGCCTTCCCTGGCAAGGACCATGTAGTTGGTCATCAGGAACCACTTAAGCTAGCCATGCCACTGAATTATAACTGCAGACTTGCTGCTAATTACAGCCCTGGGCCATACTCCCAAATGGCTACTGGATTCGGCCAAGCTGTTTGGGCAAGTACATGGTTTGATGTTCCCATCAGAGCTCATTTGCGAGAGCCGAATCCCCTCATGTCAGTAGTTTTAGGCCATGAATGCCTATTATTGTCCAGCAAGAGAATATTTGAGGTTTTCCTTACGAAATCATGGGCTCACAAATGCCTCGGGCACTTCGGAGCAGAGGTGCTGGGCATTGCTTCACACTCACCTCTGCTTGTGGCTGTCTGGGACCAAGGGACCTCCAGCGCCTGC